TTGAACTTGGGGGTTTCACACATGCTCAGCTGGCACTCTACTTCTTGAACCTCACCTCTAGACCTGTCTTTTTGATCATTTTAGAGATGGGGTCTATCTGACTTTTCTGCTTGGTCTAACTTGGAACCACCATCCTCCAGATCTCAGCCTCCCTGGATAGCTAGGATACAGGTGTAAACCATCCACATTTGGCTCACCTGGGATTTTTTTATGCAAATGTCTAGGCTCAGTTCTCAGAGATTCTCAGTATGGAGAATGTCATGGGCAGTGGGACTTTAAAACTCCAGACAATTCTGCTGTGCAGTAAAGTACAGAACCCTGCTCCTAGTCTCCATCCCCATTCCATCTCCACTCCCAGCCCCAGCATGGGTACCACTACTATGCACACATCACTCCCTGCCTCCCCGTCACACACACAGGCAGCACAGACACACAGCATGCCTACAGTAGAAGTTGCCGGTGACAGGTTTTTACTCTCAGCCCATACCAGGTGCCTAGGTGCCATTTCTGCCTTCCCTCATGGTAGCTCACTGTGCTCTGTCCCTGTGCCAAGCCTGTCTCCACAGGAAACTCCCATGCTCGGCTCTATCGAGGGCTTAGCCAGGCTCCAGTGGCTCATGCCTGTAATCCTAGCTGCTCAGGAGCATGAGAGCTGAGGATCGAGAGTCAAAGCTAGCCAAGGCAGGAAAGTCTGTGAGATTCCAATTAATCACCAAATATCCAGACATGGAGCTGTGATTCAAGTGGCAGAGAGCTAGCCTTGAGCAAAGAAAAACCCTCAGGGGAGGGAAGGGGTGATATTATCCAAAAGAAACTGTACTCATTACCTGACTTCTGTAACTGTGACCCTTTGTACATCACCTTTTAATAACATTGTAAAAAATAAAATTTTAAACACGATATTGAAGGAGCTGCAGCCTTGAATAGGGAGATCTGGGCTGTGCTTTCTGGAAGGAAGATTTGCAGATATACACCAGAGAGACAGACAGACAGACAGACAGAAAGGGGGAGAGAGAGAGGTGTAGATACCATACTTCAGGAGCACATGAGCCAGCCAGAAGTGCATCAGTTGAAGCCAGTGCTGACATGATTATACTGGAGGGTTTGGAGTGCTAGTAGCCAGGTCGAGTCATCTTTAGGAGCTGATTTGTATGCAAGGTTTTGAATGCCGGGAGAGGGATTGGCTGAGAAGAAGAGAAAGAATGCTTGGGGTGCAGTGGGTGTGGCCTGTTTGAATGCTGTTGTGGAGGGGGAGAGGGTGAGTCAGATAGGCCATGGTTTGCAAATTCCAGGCCACCTTCCCAGCCCCTGCCTCCATTTTTAAAGGTTTCATGGGTAAGAAAGGTTGAATAGCCCCTATCACGCAAGGCACAGAAGGTAAGTTGGACGCAGGCACAGTGAATGAATGATCTTCCTAGTGGTAGATTCCCTGACGTGAATTCACGTGGACATAAGATGAGACCAACTGTATGGACAGAGCAGCTCGTGAAGCTTATAGTAATGTAGTAGTAATAAGGAAGAAGTAATAGGAAATCAGAGAGGTTTGCACTTGGGTCTTGGGGTTCACAGGTGACATAGCCTGAGCAGAAGCCCCCTGATGATACAGCTAGGCCGGCCAGCCTCACTGAGAAGCCACCATCTTTTTGCCAGTGGGACATTAGAGAGAGCAAGAGGAATGCAGGAGCTTGACTGGAAGGATGGGGTGAAGTAAGTGCTAGGATTACCTTCGGCCCCTGACCTGGAAGGAAAATCCTCAAGGATGTGGCTGTGGGTGTCTGGAATTGCACAGCTCCTCTCCTGTCCTCGTTCTCACAGTGATCAGAGGCTGGGTACAGGAGGGTCTGGTCCCATAGAGTGCATGGACCTGGCCCATTTGGCATTCAATGGAGGTATTGAGCCTCTAGGCACCAGAGCACCTTCTGGTTGTTGAACTCAAGACTTAGAGCACATTGCTAGTGATGGCACACTCCTATAATCCTAGTACTCAGGAGGCTGAGATGTGAGGATCTCTATTCAAAGCCAGCCTGGGCAGCAAAGTCTGTGAGACTAACTCATTTCTAATCAGTAAAAATCCAGAAGTGGAGCCTTAGCACAAGTAGTAGAACTCCCACCTTGAGTGAAAAACTATGCAAGAGCACGAGGCCCTGTACCACTGCACAGGTGTACACATGCATGTGTATGCGTGTGCATCCTTTCTGCAAGAGAAGCAGTGCTAGCTGGTGAGATGGCAGCTTTGCTGTCACAGGAGTCAAGCAACCCCCTTTCATTGCAGGCAGGTCCTAGAGGACCCAGAAGGTTCCAACCAAGAGAGAGTTACAGCCCAGCGCTGTCATTACCAGTCACTTCTGGGACATGGGGACTGGCATTGGGGATTCTATGGCTTCTAATTCACATGTGTCTGTACGTCCAGCCCTACCCCTGTGGCAGCCCCTCCCTACCCATGGAGAAGAGAGTAAGAGGGCAGCTGGGCAGTGCAGGGCGTGGGGGGAGAGACACGTCATGTTGATAGATTTCCTCTCACGAGGGGTGGAGGTTCAGTGGGATTCTCTGGGGTGCCTCTCGAAGCAGGAGGCCTCCCTGGGGCTCTGTAGAACTCTTTTGTCTGTCACCACCCCAGATTTTCCATCTGGAAGCAGCTGGCTCACCCACACATGCCCTTTGGTGAGAAATGCCCGCTCACGAGAGGAGAGCCAAGCGGACTCTGGCCTGCCAAGCCTCAGAAGGGATGACGAGCGGGCTGGCCATTGGAGAAGCCGGCAAGACCTGGCTGTCGGCTCCTGGAGTCCTGACTGTTGTGTATGCGCCTGGCGATAGCCCCTTCCCTGGTGACGCAGCCCACGAAATGTCTAGTTGTCCATTTACAAAGCAGATTTTCTAGAGAAGCGAGTGTGGGTCTTGAGAGGAATCCCCAGGGGCTGGAAGCAAGTCAGAGGCTCAGTGGGCATAGCAGAGTCCCGGATATGGCTTAGACACCCCGGGCCCTGGCCTGGAGGTCAGACAGGCTCTCTGGGATGGGAAGGCCTCCAAGAGGACCCAAGGCCAACAACAAAGGAAGCAGTGTTAGCCTTAGAGTGCACCCTCCCTCCCTCAACTCTAGATCAGAAGTTGGGCTCTGCTGGGTGTCACTATAATCACACAACATTGGAATGATGGGACCGTATGGAGCCTTAGGGTGCAGAGAAGCCAACCCCTTCTTTTAAATAGAAGAGGAAGCTGAGGCCCAGAGAGCATGCGACCTGCCCAAGTGCCAGGCAAGGACTCATTTCAATACCTCTAAACACCGAGGGCAAGTTGTGATCACCATAGCCCAATAACCAGGTGGTCCTTCAAGATGGAGTATGGGAGCTGGGTCATCCAGCACTGGACAGAGAGGTGGGCCTAAGCCAGGAGGCTGGCTTTATGCCAAAGCCAACCTTCTGCTGTTGCCACTACTCCAGCTCAGATCATCTTATCCCTGGGGAAAGGTTTGAAGTCTGGATGGGTGAAACACAAGGGGAGGGGCTAATAAAGCAGAGGGAGACAGCTGCCCAGCCCTCTTCCTAGACAGGGTTTCAGATAGCGAAGTCTTAGCGTGGCTTTAGACGAAAGACATGCACATAGCTCCTGCTGTTCCTTTCCACTGTGCCCACGGTGTGGGCCACCCTTGCTGTAGACATCCAAGCTACAGAGCAATGGCTTGTCCTTCACCGAGTTCCCGGTATCACCAAGGGAAGGAGACACCAAGTGGCAAGTTCAGAGAGGGTAGGCTTGTAGGCTGGTGGCTTGTGCTCCTATTAGCTACTCAGGAGGTCTGAGAATCACAGTTCAAAGCCAGCCCAAGGCAAAAAAGTCCACAAGAGTCTTGTCTCCAAATAACTAGCAAAAATCTGGAAGTGGAGGTGTGGCTCGAATGGTAGAACTGGTAGAATGCCATACTCAAGCTTAAAAGCCAAGAGACAGAGCCCAGGTCCTGAGTTCAAGCCATAGTATTGGAGTGAGGAGAGAGGGTGGATGAGGGAATGTATGTAGAGGGGAGGCCATAAGGAAGTCTTTGAGAGGGCTGGTCAGAAAGGGCTTCCTGGAGGAGGTGGGGGTCTTCATCTTGGCTTGGGAAGATGGCTGGACTTTGATGGTTGTGGCCAAGAAGGAAAAGCAGATTTGGCGAGAGGAATGGTGTGAGCAAAGTCATGAGCCTGTCCCTACTGGTCATGTGTCAAGGACTTGATACAGCTGGGAACAGATCAGCTTGGATGGAGTTGGGGCTGTGTCGTAGGGTCCCCTGGCCATCCAGTGGAAGGGAGAGGAGGGGTACAAGCCCCACTGGGAACCCCGAATTCAGTTGTGCTTTCTTTAATTCAAAGCCACTTTGCTGCTAATAACCCTAATGACACTCTGTCCTCCTTCGGAGCCTGTCATTTGTGGGTCTCCAAGCACTGGGAAAACATTAATTAATCCTCAGCAAGCCTTTGAGGTTGATCATTCCCCCTTCACCAGCTGGAGGACCTTGGAGGTGAAGGAAGGGGTGGAGGAGTACCTGGTCACCTGGGGAGGCTGGGTGTAGTTTTGAGTCCAGAGTCCTGGCAGAATCCGACTCTAATCAGCCTGTGGTGCATTGAGACTCTAACATTGGAGCTGTGGACCCGGAATGTCGAGATACGGCTTGCCTTCCCCGAGTGGGAAGCTGATCTTCATCGAACATGGAGTTGTAATTCCCTGGGCTGGAACTGCGATGCTTCAAGGATCCCCGGGCCAACTCCTAACTTGTAGGTGCCAACTTAACCCAAGCAGCAGAGGGGGACCTGTAGGCTTCCAGGAAGGGGTCAGCTGAAGATCTCAGAACTATCCCTAGGCCATGGCTGTGGAGGATGTGGAGAAAGATGGAGATGGCCAGCAGATGGCCTGTCCTCCACCCTCATCTTCCAGGAGCTCTTGTTGGGCTTCTCCGTGGGGATGATGTGAGGTATACCCTCGGGAGGAAGGGTGGCTGAAGACCATGCTTGATCTCTTTACCTTGCCTTCAGGTTCTATGTATGATGGCTTGGCTGACAATTACAACAACTATGGGACCACCAGCAGGAGCAGCTACTACTCCAAGTTCCAAGCAGGAAATGGTTCGTGGGGATATCCGGTAAGTGACCATTTCCATTTACAAAAGACCTGGAATTTGGGTGGGTTTGGTCTGGGAGTCATGGTAGAGAACCATAATTGTAGGCAGGTAGATAGATAGATTGATAGATAGGTAGGTAGATAGATAGATAGATGATAGGTAGGTAGATAGATAGATAGATAGATAGACAGACAGATAGATCTTGCTTGGTAGAATCAGGATGAGCAGCTCTGATGTGATCTGTCTAGCTATTTTCTCATAGGAGGCTCTGTACACAGCCTTCCTTTCTTTTTTGGTAATTGACTATTTCTGAATGTCTCAAGCAAGAGTGTTTTAGAAAAAGCATAAGAAAAGATCATTTTCTAAAGGTCTATTGGTTTGGTTTGCTCATGAGTTTGAAATTTGATTTCAAGTGGCCCAGTTTAGACGTTTTTAGGAAAATTCTGAAGGGCATTTCCTTCTCCGTGTGCTCTGGTGTCCAGGAGGGACTGCAGGGGAGTCTCCCGTGGCCAGGAGATTGGGCTCCCTGCAGTGACTCTTGTGCTGGAATGGAGTACTAGTTACGTTTGCAGGTCAAACATACTTAGGTTCAACTGAGTTGGGTTTTGCTACTCACTGATCATATAACTCTAGGCAAGTTACTTCAACCTCTGGGCCTCCAGCTCCTCCTAGGTAAATCAGATATAACAAAGCCTGTTTTAGCTTAATGTCAGGATTAAATGAACTAATGTGCATTTTAAAAAAACAGATTACAACAATTTTGGGGATTTTTACAAATGAATAAGGGTAGAGATTATTCTAAATCCTTTAATCCTGGCTCTGGCTCTGTCTTACTCTGTGATCTCAACCCTCTCCACCCATCTATCCATTTACTGAGCAGATATTTACTGAGCTCAGCTCTGTACCAACCCCTGTGACAGGTGCTCTAGATACAATTATAGGAACCAATAGATTTTCTTCTTACTAAAAAAAAAAATCAGGGGTATTGGGCTATGTGGCACCCAGCAATTTTCCCAGATCCCAAGTTCTATTATTTTCATTTATTTTTTGCTAATTTCAACATAAACCTACATTGTTCCTAAGAGTTCTTTTCTGAGGCCCTCAGGATATTGTGTAAATGGATGCTGTAGCTCTGCTCTCTTGAGAATCCAGCCACACTGAGCACAGCTATTGCTCCTGCTTGATGAGGCCTTTGGGGTCCTGGGTACAGGAAAGGGGCCAGTATATAAATTTGGTGTTCTTTGGTCCTTGGCTTGAGTCTTTCTTTCCTCAGATCTTGTTGGGAGTAATTTTGGAGGAGTGTCTGTCTAGTGTGGTTGCAGGCTGGAGACTAAAGGGGAAAAAATAAACTAGGTTTGCACAAATTTACTTCCTCCTTTTCCCCCTAATTTTTTGTTTCAACTGACACACTCCATGCAGAACAGATACAGCTGATTAACTCCCAATAAGCTTCCAGGGCAAGCACGGATGTGAAAGGGCTTTGAAGTCAAGGGTGATAGGCCAGGAAGACTCAGAAAACATCTTAGTCATTTAAGGCAAAGGGATTTGGTAAAAGCTAAGTAAGGCAGGCCACTGGACTAGCAGTCTGAGTGACTAACTATGCTGACAATGCAGGAGTTAGGAGGGCTGAAAAGGTTCTATCCTGGTCTACTACTTATTGCCTCTGTAACTTTAGATAAAACTTGTAACCATTCTGGGCATCTGTTCTTTGTTTTCGGGGTTTGTTTTTTTTTGTCATCTATGAAATAGGAGTGATGATACCTGTGTGTTTATTCCACTCCTGGGGTGATATCAGTAACTGAATGTTACCAAATGGACTATATTACCATGGCATTTGGGAGGAGGTGTTTAAAAATCATAGACTTCACCTGGCTTATGTTGAATGGGTTGCTTCTGTTTAATTAACTCAATCTCAGTTGTTTCTCTAGTCTTTAATACTCCCAAAGAGTCCCCACCCCTTCTGTGCCCATTTTCTGACAACCAGTGAAAACCCCTTTCCTTCCCAGCACCCTAAGGCCCAACCCTCCTCTCTCCTTTGCGGGCAGGTCTGCAGACATGACTCATGACAGGGTAGCTGCTGAGGCACATTCCGTCTCCTCTCAGTTCAGGAGAGGCTATGGGAACAGGGAAGAGTTGAGCACACACGAGGATTTGGCAGTGGGAGGAGGTCTGAGGAGGGAGGAAGTAGATTAATTGAATATTGGAGCCAGACATATAATCAGCCAAACACTGGGCAAAAACCAAACAGAGTCCAGATGGAGGGAGAAGAAGAGCGGGAGAAATGGTAATAGAGATCTCAGGGGTAAGATAATCCAGTGCCTGTGGGATTTTCCCATGGATGGTTCAACTGCCATGGAATGTTGTACTTCCCACCCTCTGATGAAACCAATATGGCGGTGGAAGGCAGGGAGCGTGGGGAGGAGGGTGTGGTTCGTCTGCACAAGCGTCGTCAGCAGGTTTGCAGGAGCTTCTGAGAGCTGATGAAGGACTATTTCCTGAAGATACTTTATATTCACTCAGTCAGCCAACTGGTATTAAGCAATTTCTGGAGCATGGCAGTGAACAAGGCGCGCTGCAGATGTTGTGGAAAAGAGTCTGACTTTGCCCTCCATGAACTTCTATTCAAACTGAGAGAAGCCCAGGTCAATAGACAATAGAGCACAGATGGTAACTGCTGTACTGGTAGTTTCTGTCCTACACCAACGCTGTCCCTGCTCAAAATGTTTCTAGAACCTATAAAAATGTTAAGATAAAACTATCTTTAGCGTGTTTTAGAAGCTGCTAAGAACCACTCTTGTGTGTGTGTGTGTGTGTGTGTGTGTGTGTGTGTGTGTGTGTGTGTGTGTGTGTGTGTGTGTGTGTGTGTGTGCCAGTCCTGGGGCTTGAACTCAGCTGTCCCTCAGGATTTTTGCTCAAGGCTAGGGCTCTGCCACTTGAGCCACAGCTCCACTTCCAGCTTTTTGGGGTGATTGATTTAAGATAAGAGTCTCACAAACTTTCCTGCCATGGTTGGCTTCCAACTACGATCCTCAGATCTCAGCCTCCTGGGTAGCTAGGATTATTATAAGCATGAGCTACCAGTCTCACTTCTTTATTGCCATGTCCTGTATTTGACCAGAAACAATATGACCTACTGTGAATACCTTACTGCTCAGATGTGGGCTTCAATTCCAAATATCAAATCATCACCAAATAACCAAGCTTTGTCACCAGTAAGTATATCTTTCATTTAAACACAGAAAGGATCTGCAGACAATTCTAAAATTACCTACAGAATCTAAATTTTTCAAACAACATTTTAAAAATAGTAGTGCTATCTTCTGTTTTTATCTTAATTCAATGTCAAGAGCCTTTTAATTAAAAAAAAAAGCTTTTGGTAGCTTATATTATACATTTAGAAAATCAAATATAAAGTCTTGTAATGAAATAAAGCTTGCAAGTTAGTTGGGCATATGAAAAGTACCCAGGGACTTAATGAAAAGATCGATTCGAAGAAGACCAGAGAATCCCATTCTCTGATGTCTACTGGCCTCTTCAGCCTCTTCAGCCTCTTCAGAGGAAATCGGTGTTGCAGCCTCAGCGTCCTGCAGACCTCAGGGAGAGAAGGGAGCCAATGAGGTGAGACAAAGGGTAAGAGAAGGCCCGCCCCCACGGCCCGACTGGACAGACTTAGCTTCTTAGAAGCAGACTCATAGACTAATATATTAGAATCCCAGTGGGTTTACATTTTACACTTGAGGCAACTCTAGCCCTGAGAGTATAAGCCATTTCTAGAAGGACTAGTTAATGGCATAGCCACCTAAATCCTTGACTTACTAATTCCTAACCTGGTGTTACCCAGATAGAACTACTTATGTGATGGCATTTTATAGGTTTCCAAGTCCATGTTTTAACAGTACAACTGTGTTCTAAGAACTTGTAAGAAACCCAGAAGTTCAAATCCTTTCATTCTTTCCCTACCCACTCTGAAGCTCCAATTAAGCTCTAATGGGAAAAACATGGGAGATGACATGAGCTGGGTTCTTGTGGCTATAGTACTTAATAGGGGTAGGGGGCCAAGACAAAATACAACAAAATAGAATATTTTGAATATAATTATGGTGGAAATTTATTTGTTGCTTATCAGAAATTAAAATACAACTATATATCCTATGTTTTTATTTGCTAAGTCTGGCCATCCAAGGTCATTGATACAATTAAAACCAATCTCCTATAAGCACTTCTCATCTAGGTTAGGGACCCAAGCAGAATTACTATATGCTGCAACCATTTTTAGGGAGAAATTAAAACCTTTTGGTCCCTCTTAGTTGTCTTTGTAATGGGTCACATGAATACCTTTTAGCCCTACTATTCCAAAGCTGAAAATAGGATTTTATCACTGGGACTGTCCCAGATATGGTTGAGGAAAGGAGGGTAAGTTTGATTTCCAGAGAGTGCATCTGGATTAAGATAGAAGTCCCCTTTTCTATGAACTCCAGTGTTAAAGCTTTTCCTACTTTCAAAGCAAGAAGCATATCTTGGGCACTGAGTTCTTCTGGGAGCCACATCAACAATATGTTCTAAGCTTGTGGATTGGACTAGACTAGCTTCTCTAAGATCTTGTCCATAGAGAACAGAAGTCCTATGGGCATCATCAAACTGAAGATCTAGACCAGGACATACCATGGTAGCTGCCATATTGAATCACTCGGCCGTGCTTAGAGAAATCTAGCCTGGCGCTCCTGAGAGTGAGATTAATCGCCCAGAAATAGTAAGGGAGAGCCTTTGTCCTGGATTTTTCTCTCAACCCCTGGTCAAATTGATTTTGACATTATTTAACAATCCCATTATGACAATAAGCTAGAACCTCCTCACCTTGAAGAAACTGGGCCTGCCCCCCCTAGACCCAAAGCAATCTCTATAAACATCTGCTATAGATGAGGACTGGTTGCATCATGCTTCAGCAGGGGACAGCGAGTCCAAGCACAGCACTCTCCAGGTTGGCAAAGTTAGCCTCAATTAGAGTTACTCTGTTGATGCAC